AGCACCTCTCTGATTGTTACTGCCGGGTCAGCAGGATATGTACCTCAGACTGGGTGAAGCCGAAAGCTAGCGTTCTTAAGGGAATATTCGGCCGCTAAACAAAAGATGTATTTTACCTATTACAAAACATGCCCCCAGATGCTTATATCCTGCGTAAATTTTTGCAGATCGGACATGCACATCAATGCATGCACACCCAGGGAAAGGAACCCTTAACGGAACTATTCTCCCTGGAAGATGTTTCTTACTACCCATGTAATATAACATAACTAGTTGGGTACTTGTCAGTTTAAGCACTTATGACCCCTACGCCTGGTTTCCACGCGTGCCCCGGTTTTCATGTAACCGAGCGGGTATTTGGATACACTCCGGACTATCGGGTCCAGAGGTTGAAGCAAAAAGGTTGGCCAAGACAAATGATTTACAATCCGGCTAGGGATAAAATGTGTCCTTCGAAGTACAAAGTCACTTAGACTGACTAAATTCTTCTTCTATACCATCTAATAGGCTATCTAGCCTACAGTCCTGTTGGGAATACTTAGCGGCTAATGCTACCTGATCATACACTAGATGTACAGGGATCTCCTTCCCATCTGACCCTACAGGTCCGACCTCGGCCATGTGGTTCGGGTTAGCCTTGGTGTATCGCGTCTTCACCATGGCCCAGGCTTCCCTTGCGCCTTGTCGGCAGGCCGATATCTTTCATAATCGGAAGAGCTGCCGCGCTCCCTTGAGCATCTCCACAAGCTCCCCCATGCCTCCTAGCAGGGAGGCGGATGGCCACAAGTCTTGGGCAATGCCCCGCATCACCTGCCGAACTTGTTCGTGCAGTTGTGAGAGCTCCGGTAGAAGATCGCCTGCAGATCCGGGCATCTCCTCCTCGGGACGACCTGTTAGCATGCCTATAGACATAATTCTGTTAGCACGCTTCTTCGCCGAACTTTATAGTGGTTCGTCAGAGCACTTACTGAATATTCCGCGCTGAAGCCTCTTATTTTCCTTTACGGAGTCAGCAAGCTGGGCCCGAACGTCCTTTAATTCGACGTCCAATCGGACGTTAGCGTCCTGTAGAGTATTTTTCTCCTTTATAACCTTTGTAAGCACACGCTGGCCAGCCTTCAGCTGTCGCCGAACATGTTGCTCATCCTCTGGTTCAATCTCCGGATTGCCTCCGAGATTGTCTGCAGATTCTATTGTTAGAATCGCATTCATGCCGAATACTTAACTGGTACATTCCATGACATTATTGTCATTTAAAGCAAATATTACCAGATGGGGCCTTCGTAGACTCCTCCATCACGGCAATTGCGGCCCGCAGCTGGGCCTTGCACTCCTCCAGCTCTTTGGATAGCTGGGTATTCTTCTCTGTATGAACCTATGCACACGAGGATCCTTAAATCAGTTGTGCCAACTGTTTCAAGTCTCGGAGGGTGCTGATATACATGCCGATCAAATTTTCTTACCCATATATCCTTTATGTACTAGTCTGTGGCCCTAGCAAGGCCACCTTGAGCAGCCTGGATGTACGCGTCCCCTGAGTTGAAGGCATCGAACGCCTCTTCAGAGAAATTAGGGCCGCGTAGTGCGGCCCGACGGCGCCTATGATTCATGGCGCTCTCCACTTCGGAGTTTGTAGCTGAAAATATATCCACATCCTCTGTTGGAGGATCGTCCGCGTTGACCTCCGCCCTTGAGTCCGGCCTCGGAGTCCGGCTGGTGGAGGCGTGACCGACAGGCTCACCGGATATAGTCCGGCAAGCACTTTTTCTGTCAGAAGACAGTGGACATTGTTATATCTTAACAATGATAAAGTCGTGGCAGGTTTTTTAACATACCTTTGCAACAGGGTCTCGGTCCTGAACGCCTTCCTTTTAAGCCTACCTGACTTCGATGCCCCTTGTTGGCGAGTCGCTGCGGGTTCGGCTTGGCGTCCCGATGGCCTTCCCTGAAAGACAATATACATGTGCGGTGGGTGAAGTGTAAAGAGGGAATCCTTTCTGGAAGTTGGGACTCTGGCTTTACTTACCTGGGATACAGGGAGTAGGCCAGGATAATCAACTATGATGGCCACCATCACACCATCGCAGCTTAACTGATAAAAGGTCCTGTCAACAAGCTCCACAAATGTGTCCAGATCTTCTTCGAGTCCGGGGTCAAGAGCCCGGTTGGGATCCTCTGGCTGAGGAGATGGGCTGTGAACATCCTTCATGGCTCTTCGCAGTTCCTGCTATGAATCGACCGAGTAAACATTTGCACTAAAAATGTGGAAAAGACTAGAATAAAAGATAGTGACTCACCCAGCTTGGGGGGTTGTACATGGAGAATCCATCCCGTGGCTTGATATGGATGAAATCCTCCTCCTCTCCTTTATACAAATCGGACAGCATCGTCGCCAGAGCGGCGGGAGAGTCCGGACCTTTACGGCCGCAGCGGGTGGCATCGTCTTCTCCATTGAAGTGCCACATGGGTTTTCCCCAATATTGAAGTGGCTGCACTCCCCGCATTATACATATGGACATAACTTCAATTATTGTCAGTCCTGATTTCGCCAGCGTATTTATCCTGTCCATCAGGAAAAGGATCTCTTTGTTATCTTCCTCCTGAGGGCTCCTGGGGCGCCAGCTGTGGCGTTTCTTCAACGGGGCATTTACAAACTCGAGAAGGCCCTTCAGGGTCCGGAAGAGGGACGTCCTCCACGTAGAACCATTCCGAGGGCCAGTCTTCGGATGTCTTCTTCGAGGTGCCGAATAGATATCCGGTCCCGGCGATGTGCCATATTTCGGCTCCGCCCACTTGATATACCGACCCCTCCTGAGTGCGGGGTACGAGGCAGAATAGCCTCTTCCACAGCTCGAAATGAGCTTCGCAACCCAGAAAAAGCTCGCAAAAGGCAACATAGCCTGCGATATGCAGTATGGAGGTTGGGGTAAAGTTATGCAGCTGGAGGCCGTAGAACTCCAGGAGCCTGCGGAGGAAAGGATGGATTGGAAATCTGAGCCCCCTCAGCAAATAGGGGACGAAGCATACCCGCTCTCCCTTGGATGGGTTTGGAAAGCTCTCCGCTTGCTCCCCGCCATTATAAGTGGCTAGTCCAGCTCGGATGGGGACCATGTATGCAGGTGGGAGAATCCCCTTGGTCTGCAACTCTACTAATCGGCTATGGGGGACAGAACATTTCTCCCAATCGCCTGGCCTAGTGCTACATGAGCGAGAGGAGGGACCGCGACGACCGGCCATGGTAGTATGGATTTTTCCGGGCGCGCTTTGATGAATACTCACTGGGAGGAGATGGTGTGATTTGGATATGAGAATTCCCGTCTCTTTTATAGATGATTTACTCGCATGGTCGTGGTGGCAAATGTAAAACTGCCTCGACTTCTCGCATTCGCTCGACATGTGAAGACAACCATTATTAAAAGCACAAAAGTCGAGGAGCACGACATTGATGAGGAGCCGGACACTGCTCGTTACAACAATGCTTTGGAGGATTTGGAGAAGAACCCGCCTTGCAATGCCCAAGACAATCTGCGCGCCGGACTCATCGTCATTGAAGCCTAGTTCAGGGGCTACTGAGGGAGTCCTGGATTAAGGGGTCCTCAGACAGCCGGACTATATACTTTGGCCGGATTGTTGGACTATGAAGATACAAGATTGAAGACTTTGTCCCGAGTCCGGATGGGACTCTCCTTTGCGTGGAAGGCAAGCTTGGCAGTTCGGATATGTAGATCTCCTTCTCTGTAACCGACTATGTGTAACCCTAGCCCCCTCGGGTGTCTATATAAACCGTAGGGTTTAGTCAGTAGGACAACAACAATCATAATCATAGGCTAGCTTCTAGGGTTTAGCCTCTACGATTTCGTGGTAGATCAACTCTTGTAATACTCATATCGTCAAGATCAATCAAGCAGGAAGTAGGGTATTACCTCCATCGAGAGGGCCCGAACCTGGGTAAAACATCGTGTCCCCTGCCTCCTGTTACCATTAGCCTTAGACACACACTTCGGGACCCCCTACCCGAGATCCGTCGGTCTTGACACCGACAAGATGCGCCTCGGCCTTGGCAAATTCGGCACCGCCCATGAGGCCGCCTGCGCATACGACGCGGCGGCGTGGCGCCTCCGGCGGCCTCGTAGGGAGATAAACTTCACCAAGGTGGCGACGCAGGAGCAGGTGCAGGAGCTCGCGCCTCCCCCGCGGCTTGTCACCGACGGGGACCGTCGCGACAATCGAAGGTGGGAGCGCCGCCTCGGCATCGCTGAGATGGACGAGGAGGCCATGGCGCTGTGGCGTGAACGCTTTCCGGAGGACGTCGTCAACGAGCGTGAATTCTATGCGCAAAGGAGGACGGAGAGGGCGGAGAGGAGAGCGGAGCGAGCCGCCTATCGCGAGGACAAGCGTACGCGGAAGGCGGCCGCACTCTTCAACATCGAGCTTGGAGAAGCGTCGACCTGGGACTCCAACGATGAACGCTATATTGACACCTTCATTACGACGTCGGAGGAGGACATCACCGAGTCGGAGTCGGAGGAGAAGGAGGAGGAGAAGGACGACGAGTAGTTGAAATATGACTATATTTTTATTTATCTATGCTATGAACTATCTATGTTATCCTTTTGTATCGTTTTTTATCTACCTGTGCCTATCTATGTCATGAACTATCTTGTTTTTGCGTATGAGGAGGAGGAGGAGGAGGACGACAATGTGTATCGCGCGCTGTAAATTTTAGCGCTTCTGTTGGAGCGGCGCGCACGCGTAATTTTTTGCGGCCGTTGGAGCCAGCGCTCTGCCGCGCGCAAAAAACAGCTATTTCCGCGCCCAAAAAAGGTTTCAGCACGCCGCGCGGTTGCGCGCCGGTTGGAGATGCTATTAAGCCTAACCCAACACCCTCTTACAATATATTGCATCTTCATTTTTGGTAATACAATATATTTTTTTACTAAGACGCTTTGCTGAAATAAATTACACATCACTTCCAAACCAGTTTTATCTGCATGCACTTACTAATTAGTTGACACACCGGTGATTTGGCTTTCATGGTTGGCATCCTTGACGAACCTCCTCCAGTACCAATGTCCCGTCCACACTGACTGCATTGCTTCCAAGGGCACGCCCTTGGTTTCCGGCAGGAATGCCGCCACGAAGATGGTCATTGTCAGAAGCCAGCCGGCGTAGAAGAGAAAGACGCCATACTTCATGGCGCAGAGCAGCGCGATGAACACCTGCAGCTCCACGAAGGAGAGACACAGCGCGACAGAGATGCTCATGGCCTGCCCGGCCGACCTGATCTCCACCGGGTAGATCTCGCTCGGCACCACCCATCTGAGCGGCGCCCACGACACGCCGAAGCTGAACGTGCAGAGGCAGATGAGGACCAGCACTGCGGTCGCGTAGCCATGCGGCATCGTCACCCCTTGGTGCTTCCCGAGATGGCCCGCCATCACCCACGAGATGGCCACCTTCATTAGTAGTTCACCAACAAAAGGTTGATTAGATCCAGCCATCAAACGGCTATGAACTAGCATGCGTAGTGACAAACAGTATGGCATAATACGGTACCTCGCAGAACATCATGCCGATGCCGCCGACGATGAGCAAGAACCTGCGGCCGGTGCGGTCCATGACGAACGTGGACAGAACTGTGGCCACCAAGTTTGTCGTGCTGTTTATCACAGAACCAAGTATGGCCTTCTGGCTGTTGAACCCCACCGTGCGGAACAACACAGGCGAGAATACGGCGATGACGATCATGCCGGTGAACTCGAAGAAGATGGGTATGGCCAGCCCCACCGCCAGGTAGTGCCGGTACTGCTTGCTGAATAGCCTCCGGAAAGAGCCAACGTCGTTCCGGCGCGCCTCGTCCACGGCGCGGATGATGTCCTTGAACTCGACATCGATGTTGGTGCCATCTCCGCGGATACGCTGCAGCGCCGCGCGGGCTCGGTCGGGATGGCCTCGCAGGACGAGGCTGCTGGGGGTGTCCGGGATGAAGAAGGCTCCCACGACGATGATGACGCCCGGGACGGCCGCTAGACCGAGGGAGAGGCGCCATCCCCAGCCAGGGATGCGGTTGGTGAAGTAGTTGGTGATGGTCGCGGAGAGTATGCCGATGACGACGAACGTATTGTACGACGACGTGAATGCGCCACGCCACCGCGCCGGAGCGGTCTCGGAGAGGTACACAGGAGCTGCCTGCGGTAAAATGAAAGAGATGGTCAGTACCCATAAAAGAAAAAGATAGTCGGTATTGGGCCTCGATATACCTCAGGGCCGCAATTATATTGTATTTTTTGGCCTCCATATACCTGTAATGTGAACCCTAGACCAAAACCGAGTAGAATCCGGCCGATGATGAGCATGGCGATGTTGACGGCTGCAGCGTTGATGATTGAGCCGGCAAGGAACATGACACCGCCAATCAACATGATTGCCTGGCGGCCCACCCTCCTCGTCACTCGGCTCGCCACCAAGGACGATAGAGTGCCGGCGATGAATAGCGACGATGTGAACGCGGTGAGCCACTGGTTGTCGTACTTGCAGTATGCGTCACGCTTCGGGCTCTTCATCCTGCTCTGCACTTCCGGGAAGAACTTGCTCAGGAACGATTCCATTTGTGTCACGCCACCTGAGTCGACCAAAAGTACATTATACGTGTATAAGGATAAAAAGTTCTTGCCATACACTATGCTTTGCAATATGCTTGTTTTTTGAAATTATGTTAAAACACAGTAAGACTATAAGCGCTTAAATAATAGGGAAACGTTTGGGGCCGGGGCACCGGCCGAAGCTACGGCCGGTCCAGTCCACGCACGCGCGACGCGACCCACTCACGAGCAACCACGTGGCGCGATGGACCCGGGACGACTAGTCCTCCTCCCTTTTCTCTTCTTCCTCTCGCGCATCTCTCTCTTTCTCTCTCCCCGCTGCCATGGTCAACGCATCGCCCCGTGCCGCAGGCCTCCCAGGCGCGCCGCCGTTCAGCAGATCTGGCTGCCCTCGACCAGATCCGCGGGGATCCGCGTGCATCGGAGCTCTCCCTGCCTCACCGGACCCGGCCACGCCGGAGCTGCAACCAGCCATGGCAGGACTACACCCCGCGGCCCAAATTTGCTGGAACAGGCCGGCGAGTGCTGCAACCGTTGACAGGAAAGCTTTAACCCAAGATTAAAAATGCTTCAACCGTATATACAGAAAGCTGTAAGCGTTCAGTGCTATCGAGGGAAGCTACAACCATCTATATAAAATGCTACAAACTTTGATGAAAACAGCTTCAACCGAACGATAGAGAAAAGTTTTCACCCAGACATTGCTCAAAAAAAAGTTTCAATCGTTTACAGAAAAGCTTCCACCATAAAGGGGAAAAGCTTCAACCATTGAGATAAAAGCTACAACCGTGTCAATTTGTTGCTACTACCGTCTGTGTTTTTGCTACATCCATTCATGCGGCCATGGTGCTTTTTTACGACTGAGCTGTGACAGGCGACGACGAGGACGGCATTTTTGTTGCAACATCCTCGTTTTTTGCTACCATTGGCGCTGTGTTTTGCTACATCCGTTTAACATTTTTGCTACAATGGCGACACCGATGGATTTTTTTGCTGCAACCGTTGTCTTCATTTGCTACGACTGACACGGGAAAATGCTACCACGGGGCATCTCTGTTTTTTGCTGGAACCAATCATCGGTGAGGCGGAGCTGCATCCATGGCACTCCGACGAGCAGCGGGGGCAGCGAGCGGTCGGGGCGAGCTGAGTCCCGGAGCGCGGGGCGGCCCCGTCGGGCGGCCGGGGCGGCGAGCGGACTGAACGAGCTGAGTCGCGGAGCTGCATCCATGGCGCTCCGACGGGCGGCCGAGGCGGCGAGCTGTCAGCTTCAACCGGCGGCCGGGGCGGCGAGCGGCCGGGGCAAGCTGAGTGCCGGAGAGTGGGGCGGCCCCGACGGGCGGTCTGCACGGCGAGCGCTCGGGGAGACGAGGACAAGGTAAAAAAAATAGCAGAGGAGCTCGAATCTGACGGTGTTGCACAGCAGATCGGGCGGCTGGGAGCAGACCGGCCGAAACATTCGGCCGGTGCGCCGGCGCCTAGCGGTGCCCTAAATAATATGACAAAGTATGTAAAAAAATATGGAAAAAAAGTTCCATTTGTAAATAGCAAGTATTTGAAATAATCATCAATTAAAAGGAGTTCGTATTTTACAAGATGTTCAAGTAAGCCTGAAAAGTGTTCATTTGTTTTAAGAAATGTTCTTGTAATTAAGAGAAGTGCTCATGTAATTCAACAAGTATTCACAGCTTTTAAAAAAATATTTATATAATAGAAAAAAGTGTACACGCAATTTTTAAATGTTCATATATTAGAAAATAATTTTCCTGTTATAACTAGATGTTTTTGTAATTCTGAGAATAGTTTATGCTTTGAAAAAACTGCATATGTAGTTTAGAAAAAAAATCACTTGTATGCTTAAAATGTTAGTGTATTTATCAAAATGTAGTTGTCAGAAATAATAAAACAAGAAGATTAAATGATAAACAATAATTTATACATGAAAGAAAAGAAATGCCAAAAGGAAAAAAAAGAAACTAAAAGAGAAAAAGGAAAACATAAATAAAACTAAAACTGAAAAGTGAAAAGTGAAAAATATAAAACTGGGAAAACCGGCTATGAGCTACCGATCTTGGGCCTCATGTTGGGCCCATGCATAACACTATGGGGGGCATATAGCATTTGCGGGTGCGGTCGGGAACCCTTGTTCAGCGTGTTCTGCGCCTTGGAAACAAACTAGCGCTCACATGTCGTTGCTTTTGGCCAGCCTATCAACGCGACTCAGTAGCTCGCTCACTCCTGCTCACACGACCGCTCACCTCGCTCGCTCGGAGAACTCTGGTCAATCTATTGCCCGGCTGACGTTGACTTTTGAATAAAAAATATATGGAAATGTAAAATTGGACATGTTTATGGATTTGACGAAATAATTGATGATTATGAAAAAATTGCGGGTTTGAAAAAAGTTCATGGATTCACTATATGTTCATAGATTAGAAAAAAGTTGCTACGTTTGAAAAAAGATCCAAGTTTGAAAAAAAGTTCACCAATTTAAAAAAAAACATTGCGAATTCTAAAATGTGAAGGATTTGAACAAAGTTTGCAGATTAAAAGATGAATTTGAAAACAATTCATGAATTTTTAAAAAGTTTTCTAATTTGAAAAGATTCACACATTTGAAAAAAAAAGAAAAGAAACAAAACCGGTCCCAACAATGAAAAACTACAAACTGGTAGGAAGCTTCTAGAAGCTCCATACTACATGTTGAAAGTTTCTAGGAGCTTCACAAAACCGGTTGGTGTAAAAAGCCGTTCCTGAAAGAAAGATGAACAAATGTTACATGGGTCGGACCATTCCCTATGATGTGCACAAGGAGGGGTGGGCGTCATTTGCAATTAAGCCTGTAAGTGACGTAGAGGACACCAACTTAGGATTGGGTGTGTGGTCTGGGAGATTGAAGAGCTCCTTTTCTAGGTGTTGTGCAACGTAGTAGTCCAATATTTGTCTAAAGAAAACGTATTAGTCCAATATAACCTCCAATGCTAGTTACACGGGCCAGCCCAATAGTTCCTTATTTCTATTTTCTATTATTTTTTCTTGCTAAAAAATTCTATAATTTTCTTAATTTTAGTAGTTTTCTTAATATTATAAAAGAGTTTGAAAAATATATATGCAGTTTGAAAGGACAATTGCGGCGGCATTGCCTATATGATGGTCATTCAGAGAACACACATGATGGCGCATCTGCTTGGGCTTGACTACAATAGAACAAGCTCCAATGGTGCAAAAACAAGAAACTTTAATGCGGAACGTTAGACACTGCATATGGATGTTCCAGATTCGCACGGGAGCTGATAGGGAGCTCTGTTCATTTTGCGAAAACCTGTGAAGCTTCTTCTATCTTAGTCAAGCCTCATCCGCTCGTTCCTTCTTCTCCATCGGACCGTGTGAGTGCGTATTCTAAATAAGCACCCATTCAATAATGGACAAAAAAATATGTTATATGCTCCCAGGTCGTGCGGAAGCATCTGCCCATTCTAACCATGCATAAAGTATACTCCATAATTTAATGTATATGGCGTCAACGAAATGCCTGGATCACATGCTTTAGATGGAGCACATATTTAGACACCTTGCCGTCTCTTGGATCTCATCCTACATTACTATTATACTACTAGATAGATTCAACTTGACTCTAATGACTTCTTATTTTCGCTTCATTAAAACTCTACTAAACCAACTAACAAGGGACAGGTTTGTGTAAAGCTAATTTAGCAACATCAAATCAGTTTAGCTAATACAACAGCTCATAGAACAGCTTTATATTATGAAACGGAGGGAGTAGATAGTAATATTAAACGGTGAACCCCGAGTGTGCCTTGGAACTAAGCTTACTGGAGTAGAAAGCACAGAACGCACGGACCTGTGACGCCGGAGTCATAGCCGAAGATGAGGCCGCAAGAAGCGGCCATGAGGGAGGTCACCACGACGGAGAAAGTCATTCGGCCGCCGTACTCCTGCGCACGGCCGCCGTCTGCTACGAAGGCACCGCCCGCCATTTCTCAAGCGCTCGCGCTTGATCGCAAGTTCTTCTGTTTTGGATGGAAGGATGGCCTGGGCGTCAAGTGGTAGAATGCCACCGGCGATGTGTGTGTATTTATAGCTTAATTAGGCGGAGGTTTGTATTCTAACTTTCTAAGTCTACACACAAGTGGTCTTTCAAAAACATTTGATTAATGCAAATCTTAGCTGGACGTGTGAATAGCCTAGCCATTCACATGCCACCAAGTGGGCATTACTTAGAGCAACTCCAACAGAGGGACCCAAACGAACACGAATTTTGTCTGTTTGGGTCGTTCGTCCGCCTAGCGGACATGCGGCGGACACTGAAGGACGATAGATACACCCTGCGGAACCATTTCCTGCCTCTGCGGCTGGTTCCATCAGCAAAGCAAGCACATGCAGAAGCTTGGAGTGTGGCCAGGCGTGGCCCGGGCGAGCTCCCTACAGCGCAGCAAGCGCGGCATGCCGGTGGCGACGACCCACCGCCTCGGCCACCGGTGCCCCCGGGGCATGGAGAGGTCCGGGGCGGAGACGGAGCACGAGAGCAGCAAGGAGGTCGGGGAGGGGAGCGTCGGAGAGAGGGAGGGTTGCACGCCCGCAAAGAAGGAAGGCGGGCGGGCCAGCGCGCGCCAAGCTTGGAAGGCCGGGCGCGGCTAGGCAAGGGGACGGCCGTGCGGCACAACGATGTGGGCGGGGCCTAGCACGTGCGAGGGCAGAGCGGCGCGGGGGAGGCGAGGCGTGGGGGGCAGGACGGCGCTGCTCCAGCTCTCGAGCGGGGTGGGCGGGTGGGGTGGAGAAGAGAGAGGAAAAGGAGGAGATAGATGAGATGGGACAGATGGGTGGATGGCAAGTGGACCAAGCGGCACATGCGGCCAGACAGAGGCGGATGAAGAGGGCACAAAGAACGTTCGCTTTGTGTCCGCCTTTGACCCAAATTAAATGAGTCTCAAATTTGGGCCGGATCCGAGCGGACACAAAATGGATAGCAGGCGGTCGTTGTGTCCATTTGGGTCCTATCGTTGGGACAAGTTTTATGTCCGGATGACCCAAACAGACAAAATGGATCATCCGATTGGAGTTGCTCTATTATTCACTATCAAAAAGGGAAGACCAAAATGACAGAAAGAGAAAGGATTTGCCTTAGATTCACCTACTGCTCCAGTACTTAATTATCTCACGTTCATTAGCTCCTCAAAGCTGGGTAGTAATAAGGACGATCCACATATTTGTGCATAAGAATTTACAGTCCACTCTTTGCTTATAAGCATGTGTAAATATTCACAACAAATAAAATGTTATGAAAGTCCATGAGAATAAAAGCACATGCCACATTCTGCAGCGAAGATGCAGCGTATACGCTGCTACTACCATTTTATGTCAAACCATTTGACCTTAGGTTTAAATAATGTGGCGGAGCCTTAGTTTATAGAATAAGCACCGAATTTGATTTCAGTCCAAAATAGGTGCAGATTTGATGAAGATAACTGAACATCGCCAATTATCATGCAAAATTAGAATTTTTAACATGGTGACTACCCTTTGGAAAAGTGATCATACATGATAACTGAACATTGCCAATTGTCATGCAAAATTCGTATGAACTGGAGTGCTGCATTGATGCTGTTTCAAAGCATCCATGCAGAATTTATCAAAAAGATTCATAAAATACAGTCGTACGGTGGTCATTAAAAAAAGACATACGACCAAAGCTCATCCTCTTTCTCCTGCGACCACGCCGCCCTGCAGGCGGCCGGTCGCGCCCAACCTCCTCCCCCGCGTGTCTCCCCTCCCCTTCCTCCCTGCCGCCGGCGTCGGTGCCCGCTGCGGACCTGGCCCGGGCGACGCTGGTGGCGGCGGCCCCTTGGCCTTTTCCCTGTCCAATGTCCGCCGGCGCGGGACGGGGAGACCTCGTGCGGTG